CTGACCCCCTGCAGCGGAGGGGTCGTTCCTTCAGCGGTTTTTTGACGCGACGGCGGCGTTGTCACCAGAGGCGCGCGGGGCATTCCTGGAGGAGCCGCCCTCGGGGGCGCCAGACATAGAGGAGGCACACCAGGTGGGCCTGCGTGGGTGTACGTGTGCGCGCGCGTGTGTGTGTGTGTGTGTTTGTGTACGTGAGTGTTTGTGTGCGTGTGCGTCACTGTGTGTGTGTGAGTGTTTGTGTGTGTGTGTGTGTGTGTGTGTGTGTGTGTGTGTGTTGGGGTGGCTTGTCTGGGATGAGTGGCGCTATAATCGGGTGTGCACAGGTGCGCATCAGCCACCGCGTGGGGACCAGCTGTTCGACAATCAAAGCCGCACCGACTGTCGGGTGCGTGGTTGAGTGGGCTGCGCTCGGACATTCGTGCGCTGCATCAATCAATTTTTGTGCATGACGGCATGGATGTCAGCAATTTGGTTTGTTTTTAGGGGCGCCAGCCAAGTTGGTTTCGTGGCTGGAAAAGAGTACGAATGTTGAATCGGCAGGGGTCAGGGCTGGGCGCTTCCCCGGGCAGAGCAAGCCCACCAGGCGGCGGCGGGGCGGGTTTTTGTTGGGGTGGAGAAGAGATGGAGGGCCCCGCGTGCTGAGGTATCTGGGCCACAGGCTGATGAGCGTCTCCCCAAGCTGCCCGTGCTGGCAGCACCATGACCCTTGCCCACCGCCGTGCGGCCTGCCCGAATACCTGCCCCCCCCTCCCCCCGATCCCCAAAGGCTGCGGGCGGCAGGGGGGCCACGGCGCCCCCGGCAGCGGACGAAGACGTCGACCTGCACTTCGTGGCATTGGTCAACTTCAAGGGTGCGACGCGGGCGGCGGCGGCGGGGATGTTTGGCGGGTCCCCCAGGGTTTGTGGTCAAAACAGGCGTGTGGCCCATACGGGCGGCGTCCGCACGCCCAATGAAATCCCTTGCTATTGGGCGGTTGCTGCGCCGCGGCTGGCATGCCGTCGTGCGTGCCGCCCGCCTCTTGCCCTCTTGCCGGCGCGAGCGGCGCCGCGGGTGCGGACTAAGCAGCACACGCCTGCCGGCTGCTGGGGATTGTGAGCAGGGCAACTGGTGGAGCTCGACGGGCGGCGCGCGGGGCCGGTGGCGCACGGCCCCACATCTGCGGACACACTGCTGGCGGATGCAGCCAAGGTGGTGCGGCGGCAGTTCATTGAGAGGTGCGGACAAGTGCCTCTGCTCAAATCGATGCCTCTGATCTAATGCTGCGAGTATGGTGTCTAGAAGCCGCCTGTGGGTCCCACCATGGCAGCGTGTCTTATTGCATAAAGGCATTTTGGGGTAGATGGGCAACTTTATTGTTGTAAGTGCAGCTGTAGGCGCTCACCCAACCTGGGAGGGCGCTGTCGTCAGGGTCAAATACGTGCCTGGTGCAGTAATATATATGTATGCTTATCGTTCCTGTGCCCCCGCGGTGGCCACCCGCCTGTCTGCCTCCCCAACTCCCGCAGGAGCAGCAGCCTTTCCTTCAACCTGATATGCCTGAGCGCGGCCGAGGGTGGGTGATCGCAGTGCGGCTCATCGCCATGAGCGTGTGTGCAGCAGCGCTGTAAGGTTTTGTTTCCATCAAGATTGGCAGATTTTTCGGGGGGCAGGGGGCTTGCCCAGGCTGCCTGCTGGCTTAGTCAGAGAGAGTGGCGATAACAGGCCAGGGCGTACAATCAAGAGTGCTGCATTATTGTTGTGTAAAGTCTGACCTGCTGTATTGCGGCTTGTAGTCCAGGAATTGCTCACCCACCCACAAAGCCTGGGTGCTGTTGCAACTAGACGTGTACAGAACCTTCAAGGTTGACAACACAGTGCAACAGCACAGCTGCACACTGCCTTTAATCACCAGCCAAGGAGCAAACTGTACAGGGGTCAGCGGCCGCTCGATGGACCCGCCATCTGTAACGCATGGCCTTGGCCTGCAGGCGAGGCGGAACAGCACACCACTGCGCGTGCTGTGGCCAACCCCGTGACAAAATTTCACTTTCCTGGCAGTTTGTGTGCCTCCGTGCGGCGGCACCGACAGCGGTGCGTGACACTGCGCTGTGCTGGGGTGCTGAGGTGCAGCGGCAAAACCGCCTGGAGCCAGGCGCCCCAACGCCCATGATTCGCGATTACCGTCAACCATTAACAATATATATTTATATAGATATTGTATAGCCATCGTGCGCACGTGCACTGATAATTCGCGTTTCTACCCGTCGCTGTTCGGTTGAAGCCGCGGCTTGTGGGCAGCGATACACCGTGTGCTTTGAGGAATGACGGCGTAGCGTAAGAAAACCCACAAGCGAGGGCACTGGTGATACTACCCAAGATGCCGCCGCATGCGGGAGGCGACGCGCGTCCGCCGCTGCCAGCGGCGCTGGCGTCCTCCAAGCGCCCCCCCTTGCCTGGCTCAGCTGCCCGCACACCGCGCGGCTCGACTGGCGACCAGACGTCGTCCGCGCTGCACACGCCGCGCCTCGGCCCCAGCCGCGCCGCGTCGCTCGCCCCGAGCCGGGCGGCGTCGCTCGCCGGGTGCAGGAGCGCCGCGGGCAGCGCGGGCGGCGCCAGCGTCGCGAGCGGCGCCAGCGTCGCGAGCGGCGCCGCGGCAGGCGGCGGGGGCGGCGCTGCCGCCACGAAGGGGGCAGCTCAGGGGCAGGCGATCCATGTTGTGCTCCACATCAGGCCCATGAACCGGGCGGAGCAGCAGGAGGGGTGCGAGCAGTTGGTGCACGTCGCTCCAGGCGGCCAAGAGGTGCGCTCGGGGCAACCCCCCACCTTCCCCCGCATGACGTCACAGGCACCAGCGCTGACCCCTAAATGTGGGAGCCTCAATGGATTCCGTAGGGTTGCACGGCAGCTATGAGCGTGCCCGGACGTGTTGACTGCCGCCTGTGTGCCCCGGCACCGCCTGCAAGGACCGCCGGCGCACCGCTCACACCTCGGTGGTAATCCAACGCACTCCTTGCTGCCTGAATCATGACCAAACGTTGGGATCGTGTGGAAGGTCCTGGTGCAGACAGAGTCGCGCTCCGAGGCCTTCTCCTGCGACGCCGTCTACAGTGCAGAGCACGGGGGCGCGCACAGCGGCGAGCTCTACCCGCAAGCCGTGCGGCCCCTGGTGGACGGCGTGTTTGCAGGGATCCATGGGACCGTCTTTGCTTACGGCCAAACTGGTGCAGGAAAGTCTTACACCTTGGTGAGTCAGCTGCAGAAGCTTTTAACGGGCTGCAGTTGTGACGCTTGATGCCTGCAAGATCATCAGATTGACTGGATTTGTGTGCGGCAAGCGGGACGAGGAGGTTCAAGCGAGCCCGCCGCAGCATGCGCAAGTCGGGGGAGGGGGGGTCTGAATGGCGCCAAACATTGCTGCGGTCAAATTAGGTCAAACACAGTCATTCAACAACGCATGCAAATGGCCAGGGCACCCACATTGAGCGCTACCATGACGCTCTGGCGATGCTATTCGAAGAAGAGGCCTGCCGTACTCAGGAGCTGCAGCAGCTGCAGCAGCAGCAGGAGCAGGAGCAGCAGCAGCAGCAGGTTTGGACAGGGGCCAGCACCACACTCCAGGCAGCCTCGCTTGGCGACACGAATGGAGTACCCGCCGCCGTGACAGCTTCTGCGCACCAGCAGCAGCAGCAGCAGCAGCAGCAGCAGCAGCAGCAGCAGCAGCAGCAGCAGCAGCAGCAGCAGCAGCAGCAGCAGCAGCAGCCAAGGAAGTGGCGACCATTGGGCTGGGAGGTGATCAACGACGCCTGCACCCGGGCGCAGGCCCTGAGGGCGCAAGGGGTGGACGTGGCAATGGTTTGCAGCTTCATAGAGGTGCGCCTCAGATTCACTTCTCCTGGTCCGCCTGTCTGGTTGTTGGCACACTGAAGGTTGGGGCCTGGCAGCTGCAGCAATGGGGTGCAAATTGCTGGCTGGGCCAGCCTGATACTCAGGGCGCAAAACGTGATGCACGTCTTTGCAACGGCCTGTCGCGCCCGCGGCACACATTAGAGCAGCACGTAGAACAAAATCAGGATCAATTCACGCTCGTGAAACTCACTGTTCAAATCGAGGTCAACCAAGCAGCTGACTACCCAGTCATTCATGCTAAACACATGCAATCCTGGTCCTGACAGATCCACCAGGACTCCATAAGGGACCTCCTCGCCCACTCCCAAGCCGGGCGCCCAGAGCACTCCAGGCAGAGTCTGCTCAGCACTGGCAGCAGCTTCACGGGAGCCTGCACCGGGGGTGCTTTTGGCGTCGGCGGCGCGCGGTTGATATCCTACAGGGACCCTGATCCAACAAAAGACATTGTCCTGGTTGGGCTGGAGGAGGTCACGGTGAGCAAGCAGGGGGCTGGATTCAATGGAGTGTATGGAGGGCGTATGTAGGGAGTGGGTGGAAGACAAAGACAGGGTGAGAGATTTGTGATGGGGGGGTGAGGTGAGTGTTTGCAAGGGGGGGTTCGGGTTCAAAACCTAAGCCTTAAACCCTTGAATAAAATGCACCTGAAAATGCATGTTTACATGTTTGCAGGACTATCAAAGAGCCTCTGTGTCAGAGAGCAGAACGCACATCGCCGTGTGCAAAGCCTGTTGCCTGCATCACCCAGCTGCCCTCCGGGACACTAAGCGCCGTAACACAGAGTCGCAAAGCAAAGCCACCCCGGATCAACACGCTCTCAGCTTGCCCCTTTGCACATGCCGCAACCCGCAGGTGTCCTCGCGCCAGCAGCTGCTGCAGTGCCTGATGGACGGCATGCGCGCCCGCACCACCGCCGCGACGAACGCCAACGCGCACTCCTCCCGAAGCCACGCCGTCTTCACAATCCGTGTCCGCCAGACGTCAAGGCGCATCCTCCGCGTCGAGCCGTCGTCGCCGGGCGCGCCCATCAAGTCGCGCCACCCGTCCACGAACGGCCAGCCGCAGGGCTGCGCCGGCGCCGGCACAGGCGGCGGCGGCCTCTCGCGGCAGGCGTCGGGCCAGCAGGGTGGCGAAGGCGGCGCGGACGGGGGTCTTGAGTATGTGGAGGAGACGCTCGAGGCGAAGCTTCATTTGGTGGACCTCGCCGGCAGCGAGCGCATTGGGAAGAGCGGCGTGCAGGGGGCGCGGCTGCTGGAGGCGTGCAGCATCAACCAGGGGCTCCTGGCGCTGGGACACGTCATCGACGCGCTGGCTGATAAGCGCAGGTGGGTGCAAGTGAGGTTTCTTTGTGTGTGTGTGTGTGTGTGTGTGTGTGTGTGTGTGTGTGTGTGTGTGTGTGTGTGTGTGTGTGTGTGTGTGTGTGTGAGCGTGCGCGCACATACACTTGAGCGTGTGTGTGTCTGCACGCGTGCGCTTTCTGATGCAGCATGGGGGTTTAGTAGTGCATAAGGCATGATATCAAAAGCACATTTTGCTCTTAGAAAGCTGGCAAGGCTAGTCTGGGGCAGACCGTGGCTGAAATTCACTATTGTTATCATCCTCTTGTGGCCGATTGTGCACCACCAATTGCCAACCACACTTCAGGCACGTCCCCTACCGCGACCACGTGCTGACGCGGCTGCTGCGGAACGCGCTGGGCGGCAACAGCCGCACAGTAATGTGCGCCTGCATCAGCCCAGCGGACGTGCACCTCTCTGAGACCCTCAGCACCCTCAGGTGTGCATGCTCTGGGGTCGCAGCACCCCGCCACCCATAGGCTGATGTGGCGTGAACGAGGCGAAGCGCGCACCTTGCCCTTGCGCGCAGCTATCGGACCCACTGCAAAAAAGCTAGCATGCCAGCCTGCAACTCCTTACGCTCTGCTCCCGTTTTCTCGGACCCGGCAGGTACGCAGCCCGGGCCCGTGCGATTACAAACATGCCGGTCGTCAACAGCGCGCGCCGCAAGGCGGAGCTGGGGGCGCTGCGGCAGGAGAACGACGGCCTGAGGGAGCAGGTCAAGGCGCTGCAGTTCCAGGTGAGAGCTTTGTGATTGTTCATGCTTTTATCGTTGATCACATGGAGGCCTTGGTTTCGTGGGAATTTGTGCCACAGGATTTCCACAACAGCAGGCGATGATGGTGATGTTCAGATTTGGTGTGCGCCATGCATGCTTCTTGGGCGTGTTGCTTGGACGTCCAAAACGTTGGGCCAAGGAGCCTGCCCTGCCCCTTGCTGCGCCTTGCAGGTCGACCAACTCGCGGCCGCCCCAGGCCCCAATGCCTCTGAGCTGGCAGCTTTGCTGTCGGAGGCCCGCGCTGAGCTGGACGCCGAGCGCGCGGCCGGGGTGCTGCAGGAGGCGCGGCTCGCCCAGCTGGCGTCCCAGATGGTGCGCCGCATGGGCCTAGGTACTGCAAGGGCAGCTTGCCTGAAACCTGCTGCAATCGTCGCACAAATTCAAGGATCATGCCTGAGCCGCGGCAACTACACTTTTAAGCCTGCCTTTGCACATGCGGAGAGATAAGCTGAGGATGTCACATTCCACTTTTTCAAAGCCTTCAACTTCAAATCTGCCTTCACAACTCCTTCCACGACGATCACATTCCGTTGCAACAATTTGTTTTGCAGAGGGAGGCCAACCATGAGAAGCTTCGCATGATCGCGTCACTCGAGTCACTCAGGGTGCAGCTGCTCTCTGCCCAGGTGTCAGCCGTCGAGGCCAACGCCAAGGCAGGCCGCGTGTTCGGCAAGGCCAACTCTGAGGGCGGGGCGGCCTCGTTGGGAGGCGTTTTCCACGGATCCCTGCCCGTGCCACGCCTGTGCTCGCTGGGCGTGCGTGCGGGCTCCGCCTGCAGCGCGCACTCCAGCGACGGCGGCACGCACGCAACGGATGGCGGCGGCAGCTGCATGGCACCTGCCAGCAGAAGCTGCGCGGGACACCGCGCCCCGGGCGAGGGGGAGGGGCAGCAAGACGGGGCGGACCTAATTTGCGAAAAAGCGAGCCGCGCCGCATGCTGGCCGCGACTGGGGCAGGCTGAGCAGGAGGATGGCGACGACGACTGGAGCATCCCGGCTGTTCTGCGCGAGAGCGGCGACGGCGCGGACGGCCGCACGTCCCTTGAGCAGCAGCAGCGGCAGCACGCGGATGGCAGTGCCGCTATGCTGCGGCACGCGGCCGCGCTGGTTGCCGGGACGGCTCTCGACCCCGCAACATCACAAAGGGCAGGGTCACGGCTGCAACGGCTGGTGTCGGGGGCAGGGGCCGAGGGGCTTGTTGATTGGCTGGATCGCACCGCAGGCCACAAGGCTTGCGATGCGGTGCCGTCAGCGCAGCTGCCAGCCACACTCATAGAGATTCCGGATGACGACGCCGAGGCGGCTGGTGCATTGCGCGGCAGCGCCATGATGACGGCGGAAGTCTTCTCAGCTGCTTCCCAACCGGAGGAACCGCACCTGCGCCGCGGGGCCGCGCGCAGCAGGAGCGGCGCGTGCAGTCCCAGGAGCATGCTCGCGCCTGTGATCGCCCAGTGGTCCGCGCGGCCTTCCGAGGTTGAGGGGTTCGCGGACGCGCACGATGGCCGGGGCCCGGCGCGCCGCCGCAGCACCGCGGCGGGCGCGATGATGGCGGCTGCCCTGAAGGCGGCCGAGGCGGGCGGCGGGCCGGACTGGGGGCTGCGGCGGCAGCAGGTGGCGCTGCAGCACGGCCTGGACTGGCTGCAGTCCAGGCGCTCGGCCGCGGCGGACGCGCGCGCGCGCCTCCAGGCGACAGAGGGCTCCGTCCTTGCAGAGCGGGGGGCGGGTGCGGCGGCGGGCGAGGGCGCGGACTGCTGCGACGGCAGTGGCGAGCGGCAAGGGTCGTATTCTTCGATCGTGGCCGCGGCGGTGAAGTCTGCCGCGGCGGGCGGGGCGGCGGGCGGCGGCGCGGCGGCCGCGCGGTTCTTTGACTGGGCGGTGCGGTTGGCTTCTCAGCATGCAGAGCTGTTGGTGATGATCGAGGTGAGTGGGTTGTCAGGGCAAAGGGCAGGTATGTAGTCGCAGAAGGCAGCCTTTGCCCTGGGCCAAAGGCTGGCCTGCATTGTCATGTGGGTGGCGCAGCGTGGCGGTTTTAGCTGAGATCGGCGTCGCAAGATTGAGATTCCCCTGCTGCCTCTGAAATCATGAAACCATGCGCTGCAGGCGGAGAGGGCCGAGCGGCGATACCTGAAAGAGCAACTGGATGCAGCAGCGGCCGCTGCCCAGGCGGCCAAGGCAGCCCCGACAGCCGCCGCCGCCAGCGTGGCAGCCGGCGAGGCCAAGGCCGAGGCCGAGGCCTGCACGGGTGCGCCGCAGCGGGGCGAGGGCGCCGCGGGGGCGTGCGCTGCAGGCTTATTAGAGGCAACGGCGCCCTGCCCGGCGGCAACACTGGCGGGGGTGCCTTCACTACAGGCCTTGGCTGCAAATTTGACCGAGGCCGAGCGCCTAGAGCGCCGCGCCCTCGACCTGCAGCGGCGGCTGGGGGCGCACTCTGCGCGCATGCAAGGGCTGCTAGAGCTGCAGCGGCAGCTCGACTCCCTGGGTAGCCTTGCCCCGGCCAGCGCAGAACAGCCCGCGCCAGTCCCTGAGCGGGGCAGCGACGGCGGTGCACGTGCAGGGGAGCAGCAAGAGGACGCCATAGCGCTGGCGCAGGCAGGGCAGCTGACGCGCGCGATTTGGGAGCATGCGCTGTCCCTGGGACTCGAGCCGTGGCAGGCGTTCGCGGCGCTGCTGTCCGTGGCGGCGGCGCTGCGGGGCGGCGCAGAGCGGCTGCGGATGAGGGCGGAAGCAGCCGAGGCAGAGGTTGCGCTGCAGCGGGGACTGGGGGCGTTGGCGCAGGAGGAGGCGGCGGCAAACGGAGCAGCAGCAGGGGAGCTGCAGCAGCAGCTCAACGGCGCCAAGGTGGGTCGGACTGGCATCACTCTGAGAGTCTGGTACTGTAGTGAGCAATCCTGCGTGTTGGGCGACTTGTGTGGCACAGACGATTGATTGCAGGATCAAGCCCAATATGGGGCCTGCAAGCTCACATGAGAAGCTGCCGCACACATGCCAGCATGGGCAAACCGGCAACGCAGCTAGAGCGTCTCGCGCGGGCCCCTTTCCGATCCTGGCCGCCCCTCTGGTTGAATGCAGGAGTCCATGGCTGCCCTGAGGGAGTCCGAGGCGCGATGCCACGAGGCGCTGGCGCGGGTGGCCGAGGCCCGTGCTGCGGAGCAGGTGGGTGTTTTATCGGAGGACTGTAATGCAATGTATACGGCAATATGTAGATCTACCCATGTATCACACGTGGCCATATTCAAGGGCAAGTCCTGTGGATCTTGACAAGGGCCTTCATACTTCTGATGAATGATGTTGGACAGCACAAACCCAGGCAATCTGAGGGTGCAGCACCTGCGCCCAAATGGCACCGGTCATCCCACTTCGCAAGTTGTCCATGCCGCTGTCCAATTACCACCACCACCACACTGCTGCCCCACGCCCAGGGCCTGCCGCCGGCGATCAGCCCAGTCAGCAGCGGGTGCGTCACCGCACGCTCAACCTTTTCCCGGTCCAACAGCTGGGCAGCTGCCCACCAGCTGCCGCCCCTGCCGCCGCAGTCCCCGCCGCTGGCCATGCGCAACCTGGCGGGCCTGGTGCAGCTGTCGAGCGCAGGCGCTGATCCCAAGGCAGGAGGGGCCGGCAGCAGCGGGGGCGGCAGCGGTCGCGGCAGCGGCGGCGGGGACGGCCGGGGATGGCTCAGTTGGGTTGTGCCGGCGGATGAGGGGGTGGAGTCGCAGCAAGAGCAGGTCGGGCCGGGCGTGAAGCAGTGGCTGCGCGAACTCTTTGACCTGTGAGTGGTCGCTCTGCTACAAACGCTTGCTGAAGAATTCTGATTCCATTCGGCTTGAACCATGCTGATCTCTGTGCAACGCCTGGTTAGCTGGTGTTGTTTGGGGCGGATGACGACGAGTCCACAAGTGACGGATGCACCCAGCTGCTGTGCCTTTGGCAGCAGCACTGGACACGTTGAACCCTTTACGTTGTCAGTGATGTTTGTGGTACTCCTAGCTCACTTGAAGTCTTGTAATATGGACTGTCGCCCTCAAGCTGCTGACCATCAATAACTGTGGTAAAGGTGTCCTTGTGCAGTCTTGCAATGCAGCTGCTTGCATGCTGTGCTGCCAACAGTCAACACAGGGTCATCAGTGAACGGGGCGCGGCCTATCGATTCAGCAACCTTGCACAAAAATATTTCCATACTACACGCTAATGTTGATGGATCTCGCACATTCCTGTTGAATCGGATTGTTTCGGAGCCCAGCCCACGCACTGTCACATGAATTCACAGTTCCAGTGATGAAAGTGCCGAAAGCAATACGGGATTGAATACCAGCAAACTTATGATAAACAATATTATTCCTTATAGGTCATCGCTTGAACGTCTCACTGCATCACTTCAACGCGCTGGCTGGATCTCACAGTCAGCGCGCATTTTGGAGCGAGGCGTGGAGGAAATTGTCGCATGTTCTCAACTTGTAAATTTTTGGCATCTGTGAGACATGCGGTGGTCCTGGCTTGTCGTAGTATTGGCGCTCGCGGTCGTTCGGCTGGGCCCAGCCCGAGAGCTGCCGTTCAACACGACTGACATCAGCAGCAGCGGCGCAGACGTCGAGGACGGGTCCGGCGAGCTGTTACCCGCCGGTCGCGGCCTGCATCAAACCTCGGACCAGTGCAACCTGGTGATCGACGGCTGCGCCCGCTGCTACCAGCGGCGTGCGGGGACCACCACTCGCACCTACTGCAGCAAGTGTTCGATAGGGTACCAACTGAAAAACTCGTACCGCTCCTGCTGTGAGTCGAAGGGCTGGATTTGTTACAGATGCATTGAAGCGCCCTTCACATGCCTTGTGGCGCATGCCAGGAGCTCAGGGCCTGCAATGTTTGGGGCTGAATTGGCATTGGGGGTCACCGGCCAAGTCATAGGGTTGAAGTTTAGGCGCTGGCATGACCACCTCGTTCAGCGAGCCGAATGTTTGAGGAGCTACCTTGATTGTGTGAAACGTCAGTTCGCCTACTCTACACGCGCACGCCACAATCTTTGTTACCCGTCTGCCCTCCTCCCACACTAGAGTGCCTGGCCCCCTCTTACCCCGCAGCATGAAGTTTAAACTTCAAATTTGCATTCTCCTTCCTCCTCATCACCCCAGGGTGCTCGCCGGGGTACTACTGGTCTGTGAGTAACAGCACCTGTGAACCCTGTGGGGCGGGATACTACTGCCCCGGCGCGACCCTCACTCAGGCGTCTGGGATGCAGCGCATCCCTTGCGGATTGAACAAGAACACGACTAGCATCTACGCGCGAACTGTCATGGAATGCAGTGAGCAAAGATGCTGAACTCGGCTTTCTTTGTTGGGTCGGCGTGCAATGGGCCGCTACCCAGCTAGCTTTCAAGTTTCAGTGTTGCCACCCTGGCGGGCCTGTGTGAGCCCGCTCCCCCATTGCTCGTGCTGCACCTCTGCTCTGCGGGTATCCGCGAACCTGCACTGCCCTGAAACAAGCTTCATCTCAACTTTCCATCTCTGTTCTCCCGGTCCTGACTGTGATTAACTGCCATCCCTTCCCTTCATGCAACAGCCGTGAATCCTGGCTTCAGCTGGGGCCCGGGCGACAGCTCCACCCCCTGCACCACCGGCTTTTTCAATCCGGGCTACAACACCCGCCGCTGTACCATGTGCCCAGGCGGCCTGATCACGCTCCAACCCGGCGCGACCTCGGCCACCGACTGCACCTCGCCACCCGGCTACTACTATCAGCGGGGCAAGGCGCTGCCATGCCCCCGGGGCACATACAAGGAGTCATCCGGCACCAACGCAAACTGCGACACGTGCCCAGAGGGCATCACGACGCCAGGGGGCCAGGTGGCGATGAGCAATCGGACTGCCTGCAAATGTGAGCGTCTTCAAACGCATGGCCCACAGCATCGCTTGTTGCACTTCCAGGACGCATCAATTGCTGCGGCCCCAGCCTTCTTCCGCAGCTCGCCACGTGGACGCGACCTCCGAGGTTGCGTTCAGAGTCTGGATTAGGCAGTGGCCAGGGCGGAAGTTCAAGAAATGCACCAGCAGATCACGCCTGACCAATCAACAGCCTATGTGCTTGCGCCCTAAAACCTCTTTGCACAAGCACAGAGCAGGCCCTTGCGCACGTGGCCTCGGCTTCAGCCACCCAGGCATGGCATGCCTTTCCCACCTACCTTGAACCTCCACAGGGGTCCTCCCAGGGTATGCCCTGCAGCCCAACGCAGTTCTGGGCACCACCGCCGCGACCGCCTGCCCAGCCAACACGTACCGCGAGGGCGAGGGCCTGGTGGAAGACGCGTCCATCGGCCTCAACTGCACCGCGTGCCCGGCCAACATGGAGACCCTAGATATCGGCCAGAAAACCAAGGACGCCTGCTTTGCGCCCCCAGGCTACGGGTACAACTCGACATCTGGGGACGCGTACAAGTGCCCAAAGGGCAGCTACAACCCTGGCTGGAACCGCCAGCCCTGCGTCCCATGTGGGCTTGGTGACATCACCAGCAACGACGAGGGCAGCACCAACCCCGACGACTGCATCACGCGGGCCGGGTACGGCACCACCAAGGCCGACAACAAAACCCTGGTCACATCCATTTGCCCGGCCGGGTCGTTCGGCCGCAATTCCGACACCTACGGCATGGTGACCGTCGAGTGCACAAAATGCCCGGACTTCTCGACAACAGACGGCCCCGGCAGCGTCAACTCGTCGCAGTGTTTGACCCTTGCAGGGTATGGCTACGAGAACGGCGGCATCGCGATCTGCGACTACGGCAGCTGGAGCGCCGGCCACAGCCAAAACCCCTGCACGTATTGTGGTGACGGGTACAACACCAGCGCCGACGGCGTCGCCGCCACCCAGGGCGCGACGAGCGGCAGCCAGTGCATCGTTTCCGGGGGATTCACGCCAATGGCCGACGGCTCCGGCCTTAAACCCTGCCCGGCAGACACCTACAAAGCGCTGCTCGGCAACTCAAGCTGCGTCCAGTGCCCGGCCGGGACGATCACCACCGTTATGCAGGCCGCCGACGCGATATCGCACTGCGACGCCTGCCGGCCGGGGTTTGGCAGCGCCTCCATCAACGCCTCCGCGCCCTCCTGCAGCATCTGCGGGTCCGGCTACTACTCCCCAGGCCGCGTTGTTGGGGGCTCGCCGTGCCAGGCGTGCCCGCGGCCCGTCGGCTTCACAGGTCTCATGGTGTCTCGCAAGGTGGGCGGCACGAAGCAACTTCGCTGTGTAACGGATTGCCTGGCGTAGTGTGCTCCGGTGCAGACCGCCCACCGATGCGCCTGCACATGACGAGCCTGGGCTAGGTGGGGGCGAGCCTCATATACCCTTGACACTGAGTGTCACGGGTGTATGAGGGCCGTGTCTATGTCCACGAGTCCAAGCCCAGCCTTGGACTGAGGACGGACCGTGTCCTGATCGGCCGTCCGTCCTTGACTGGCTGGACGGGCCCGCAAGCACGATTCTGAGGCTCATACATCCAAACTCAGCAAATACAGCTTGACGCGTGAATGCCTCTGTGGTCATCAATGCCACTGCAATCAATCACACTTGCAGGGCATCTTCACTCCCGAGGACTGCGTCCCCGAATTCCCGGGCGACAACTTGTCCCACCAAACCTGGAACTTCATCGCAATGGACGACTCCGCGCTCACCCTCACGCCCGCCGCTGCCGACGCGGTCGCGTGCCAAGCTGCGTGCGCCGCCAGCGCGGACTGCGCGTACTTTGTTTTCAAGGGCGTCAACTCACACTGCTTCCTGCGGGACACAGTGCCATACAGCCTGGTCAACGTCAGCGACACCTCTAAGAGCTACATTTTGTTAGAGGTGCGGCGGCCGCGGCGGGCTCTGTTGTTCAACGCTTCCGTGCACGTGCTGCGCTCGTGCACGCGGCTACCATATGGTTGCTCCTGCTTGCAGTTGGGTGCTCGCAATACGTGCAGATGAGTCTGGCAAGGGCCTGCGTTGCCAACAGCCTGTTATCGGTTCACAGCGGGTAGCCCAAAATCAACATGGCAGGCTCGCCTCAAAACGCAAAACCTGCCACCCTCTCACCATGGGTCCTTCCACGGCAGGTGTCCGCCGGCCATTATGTGGCGTACGGCGCGCACGCCACCGACGCCACCTCACTTGGGCAGCCCCTCTCGGCGTACGCGACTCGCGAGGCGGCCACCGCTGCATGCGACGGCAGCGCAGAGTGCGTGGGCCTCAAGTTCGTGCACACTGAGGGCTCAAACCCCTGGCACACATTCAAAGGCACCATTTGGGAGGATGTGGTAGGGAAGGTGCGCGTGGTGGGCAGCAACATCAACCCTTGGGTTCCTGACCCAGCCTAGGGCTGATTGGGACGAGGCGCCCGCGGGACCTCTGCACCTGTCAGGCTCGCACAGTCTGTCCATTTCAGGCGCACATGGGCGTATACAGCCTGACAATTAGACGCGGTGATTTGCTTTGTCATCCATCATTTCGGCCCGAGCGAAGAGATTCCAAAGGGGGGCCTCCTTGAGGATCTGCTGCACTGCAAGCTGTTAGTCAAGATTGGGATCTGAAACTAGGGGCAGCGGTGGCCTGCGTCCCTCGGCTCCCACGTGGGGCGCCTTGCATTTTGGGTTTCATTTGGATCAAGGTTTGGCGCGCATACACTTATCTGGCACTGCACGGCTCCATCCCCTTGCCTGCGGGCTTTGCTGCACTACTATCTGTATGGTCGTGCCCCTTCCTTTTCGGGCTTATCAACACGCGCGTTCCTGCCCTTGCCGATGATCTCAAGCCTGTGTCAAGCGTCGCCGCCGCCCAGGCGTGGCGCAAAGGCGACTCTCGTCGTCCCTCAGGCCATCGCACATGACGCGCTGTTCTGCCTCGCTTTCTTTCGCGCCTGATTATCTAGAGCTGCCCAAACGACATCACGAGCACTTGCTACTGCGGTTGTTTGTGAGTGTGGGGTCCGAGCAGCAGCCGCACCGATTTTCCGCCTCATCTCTGACTGCATGCATGCTGCCGGTCTTTAGGGTGTGCTTGCTGCCCCTTCCTTTGCAGCAGGCGTAGCGTGCGTGCTTCACGCTCTGCCCACCAAGGCCTACCCTGGGGCTCGGCCGTAACATGCCACTGCCACCGGGGCATTTACCCAATCCGCCGTCAAGCGCCTTACTTTTGGTGCTGTTGCCAGCTGTGTGCCTCACTGAGCGACACTAGCCTCCGTTGTTTGGCGAGCTTGCAGCACCCTCCTCTGCCCCACACGCACTACAGTCATGCACATCCCTGCCTGCCCCCATGGCCCTGCTCTCGTGCCTCGTTTTCTGCTCCATCTCTTCCGAGTCCCTTTCTGGAAAAATGCCTTTCTTTCAGCTGAAACGTTTCACCTGAAACGGATATTTGTATCAGCCGCTCCGCCTGCCGCTGCATCCACGTGTCAATGGCCATGCCCTCACGCAATGGAAGTCAAAGCTGCCGCCGGTCCATGCCTTCTGCTCTAGGCACGCATGCAGCGCTTACAAACGAGCCTGTGGGAGCCGAAACGTTGTCCCTTTTGTTGGGCCCACGCCACCTTGTGACTGCCCCCACCATCTCCTGCATCTTCTTGGACGAAGCAGCTGCTGCAACACTTTGTGGCAAATTCAGCTAGCCCAACGTGATGGCTGCAGTACCTTTGCAGTCTGGCACGGGAAGCACGCCTTGCTGAAGAACTTGTAGCGCGCAGATGTTTCACGTGGCGGTGTCCCTGGTGTAATGCCGACCGGTTGACCAACGACCAGGCAGGACTTCATGTCAGCTCGCGAAGACCAGCTGCAACAACAAGCGCTGGCGCTTGTCTGCCTGGGCTTGGGTGTAGGCGATGAAATGATAAGGAGGTTCGTGTTGGGCTGCACGGGGCATGTGCACGAGCTCATGGCCTGGCTTGGCAGCAATCACACAGGTGTGCCGCAGGGTCAGTGCTGCCCGGCGATTGGGAGTATCGCTCAAGGGCTGCAGGAGCGTTCGCCCCAACAAGGACGGCCAGAAGGGTTGCTTGGGGCAGTGCATTACCAGCAGCAGGGGCTGGTCAAGGCAAGTGTGCCACACTGTCAGGGCAGCCAGGGAAAAAACGAACCGCGACACGGGTTGCTGAATGGCCGGCGTCGCTGAAAATGCTCAAGTGACGGTGCAGATGGGGGCCCACCGCGTGTTGGCTTGTCGTCGGAATGGGCGAACTCGCGGGGGAGATACGGAGCGCGGCAAGCAGGCGGGACGGCGCCGTTGGTACTGCTGAGCACGCGTGCGAGTCTGGCGAGTGACTCAGTGACAAGTGCCGACACACCGGCTATGGCACAAGAGCACATGCACCCCTCACCCGAATTTTGGCCTTTGGATATGTAATGATAGGTGCGTAGTTGCTGTACAGAAACCTGCGTCGCAGAGATCATCGCAAGCTTGTCGGATCGCACGACTGGGCGGATCTCATATATATGTGACCAAATTAAGAAACATGACAGCTCAAGAACAGCTACACCTCACGAAGACCTGCGAGATCCAGAGGCTCGACAAAAGCTGGGTGCCTGGCAGCCTGTTCGTGTATTCAACGCGTGCAGTATGGCGACCGTCGACATCTGGGGACGCTGGCGGCGCCGGCGAGCAAGCCTTCGCGCTAAAGGACCTGAGTGAGCACGCCGCGTCGCCGCGCGCGACCCACTGCATCCTGCTGACGCAGCGCACCACGGCCACATGGAGGCCCGCCGCGGCCGCTGTCAAGAAAAAGCCATTTGTATGGTGCCTCCGCTGCCGCCCGGGCGGCGATGGTGCGGCGGTGGGCCCCGCGGCAGGCCTCTTCGATCCTGTCGACATGGTTGCACAGGGTGCTTCCTCGGGCCCTGCTCTGCAAGCATGTTACCAGCGGCACACACCTCGGGGCACAACCCCATGGGCGGCGTCGGTCTGCGGCTCACCAACCCTCCGCTTTTCAGGCCAAAAGCGGTCAACCAAGAATCCCC